CAGGGGGGGTTGGACAGATAACACCACCTCTTGGCTGGTAAGATTTTCTAGCTTCTTTTTAGACAGGTGCATGTTCACACCATTTGCTATTGTTGAATCAGTCATAGCATTTACAAAATAATAACAATAATAATAATAATAATAATAATGTATTTGCAGTAAGAAATTGATACTTTATTTTAGTTGAAAGGATGAAAAGCTGTGAGTCTTTGAAATGAATTGAATCTGGTTTTTGAACAGGTACAGAAATTGAAGTGTGTAGATTTCACTTTGAAGTCTGTATATTTCTTATGGCTCAGATTTGTGGCTCATAGCTTTTGGAAAGATAGCAGAAAATAGTTCTCAAGGAATGTAATCTAAATTTTAATTAACAATGTTGCAATTACTGAGGAGAGGGGAGGTAAGAAGGAACTTCGAAGTGTGTGTATGTGGGGAAATCTTGAAACTGCCCCAAATGGAGAACAAACTTTTGTAGTCTGCTGCTTTTTACAGTTTCTGTGTGGAGAGAAGCCTCCGTCACTGGGAGATCTTGCTGCTCTTGCTAATACTAGCATTCTCATGATCTCTTGCTGCCACTCTGGGTGTCCTTTTCCTTTTGGAGGAAATGTGGTATTTTCAGAGCAATAGATTTGGCAGGGTGCTTCATGTCTGCTAAGGGTAGATACATACTCGCCTTCAGTTCTCTTGGAGCAGGAAATAAGGAAACTCGGCCACAATTTCAGTGCTTTAGAATCTGTACTGTTACTAGCCTGTGCCCATGCAATGAGGGATGCAGATTTTTGGGATTTTTTTAATGTCTCCGAGGGAGGGAAAAATGATCCAAATGACAACAGGCAGAGAAAGTAGAGAGCAGAAATGTATGAAATGCTGTATCGCTGGCAAATCTTTCAGAAAAGGCCACATGCTTTTTTGGAGCAAATTATTAGTAGATAACAAAGTACCTATCTATTTTTTTAATCTTTCCCCCTCCCCTCCCCTTCCCATTTTGCTGCTTAGCTGACTCCTCACTTCCACTGCCACCAGGCAGTTGCTAGCATGCATTTTCCAGATGTGGTCAATCTGAATGATATCTTGATGCAGATGCGGGGGGGAGGGAAGAGGGAAAAGAGAAAGGAGAGACAAGATCCAACCTGACAAGACTCGGGGATGTGTTCAGCAGCACTGACCAAGCGTGGGACATACGCAGCTGTCCCTTATGCTATGGTTCCCTGCTGTGAGGTAGTGCTGTTGAGACTTCAACTTTTCTTTTAATTTCCTCTTCCCTTTGAGCACTGCTCATTTCCAGTAACGTGCTCCAAGTCTGAAACCTATGTCCTGAACCTTACAAAGGCCAGGTTCCATTTTCTCTCCTCTGAGAGCTGACCAGTCCATAAGCAACTGTTTGAAGAGGATTGATGTGTATGGTGTCCTGGCTGCTAGAGGTGTTTGGGCTGAACTGGTATTTGCCCACATTACCATCACCTGCTACTTAAGGGTGTTCATTTAGTCATGACTGAACCATTGCAAACTGAAACTAATCAAAATGTAGGATGCCGATAAAAATTAAAGACCCCAAATTACAGAATGGTGACAAAATATTCTGTGTGTATGGGAGTGTAAAGGAGGCAAAAACTTCACACAAGTTTCTCTTACTGGACTGCAAAGTTCGATCTTTAAGTAGTAAGACAGACTTGTGTTACTGTGGTCTTCTACGTGGTTGGGTTGGTGTTTTTTTATCAAATAAATTTCTACTTAGAAAAGCTGTCCACTTGTACCTCACTATAGCATATGCTAATGGAGAGAGTCCTAAGTTTTCAAAGACTTAGTAAAACTGTTCAAAAGACTTTTTAGCTTAATAATTCACCATCTGGTGTTCTTGCTCTGATCTAGAGTAGAACTATTTGGCATAAGATGCTTTTTTCCTACGAGCTTGTTTAACAAATCTTATTCCAGTGCTTCTAAAACTAGGTGAGAGAGGGATAGAGATAGAGGAGTGTGCATGTGTGCGTGTGTACCCTGGGGGAGGAAGGCTGGTTGTTTTGCTTTCCTTCCCAGTGGAAACTTAGATTGGGAATCTTTCAATAGCAAGGGAGAAAGTTCAAAGAATTTAAGTATTCATTAGTTTCATTAGGAGAGCTCTTGAAAGTGTTAGCTCTTACTATTTATTTGTGACTAGTACTGAGTTCCCATCAAGAGCTTGTAACTCTAGAGTAACCATTGAATACCATATTGGATGATTGATGGGTTCCTTTCTTCTGTGACCTCAGGCAAGGTCAGCCTGTATATCCCATCTCCAGTGGATTCAGGCAGCCCTATCCATCCTCACTCTCAGTCGACCCTTCCATGTCCAGGTAGGTGTAGGAGGTGAATGACTGACTGGGGAGTAACTGCTGGCATTAGAGGGCAAGTTGCTCTTCCGCTTGCATCTTGGTCTGCCTTTGCTTGCTTTTCAGTCAGCTAAAACCTTACGCATACATTTTAATTTAACTTACGTGTGTATATGCAGCTTGCCTGGATCCCACGCTGGTCTCATTCAGCATTTTCTTGTCAGTTTCTGAAGTGTTGCAATGAGTAGCGCCAGTGAATTGCCAACAATTAATTGAGCTGTTTCATCTGAAATGAGTTGCAAGTTCATTTCTAGATGCAACACACAGTGTGCATCCTTGGGTTTTGTTCATGCCAGTATGCAACCAGGTGGATTGTCGCTCTAGTCTGTGTTCTGTAGTTCCAATTTCTAAGTTGCTGGAAATCAGTGCTGAATCACGTAGGTAATGCTCTGTGTGGAAACTTGCTCGCAAGTAGGTATTTCATAGCCCAAAGCCACTAATGGCAGGGGATGCCAGCACAGTGTTTGTACTGGTGTGTGACTCAGGCACTGTGTCTTTGTGTCGAAGTGCAAGCAATGCTAATTGAGACTTGGCCGTGACACACTCCAGACCTCTCTGCTCTGCTTTCGCATTCTAAAGACAGCTTCTGCGTCCTGTGCTTGGGGTACACAAGGTTGCAATACACAATTCTTGAGTTTTTTCTGTGACCTGTAGAAGACACATCCTCTTGCACAGGGATTTAAGGCAGGCCACTTGATAAGTGGTAGGTCCTCTTGTCTCTTTGTGTGTGGGCTCCTTTGGATTATCACTGTCCCTTCACTTCTTTACAGAGGAATGATAAGCATGTGCCTGTCAAGGTGATTGGGAAGAAAGCCCATTCTTTCTCCATGATAAAATCACCTGATTTGGTTACAGGGCTTTGTGTTTCCTTCACTTTGATGACATGAAGGAAAAGGACAACAAGGGGACTAGGGAAGGGTGAAAGGAGAGGCTGGATGCAATTCCTTAGCCATCTCTCCTTCAGCAAAACTTCAGAGCATGAGCTTGCTTTTGATGTTAACAGTACTTCCCACCAGTTTAAAATACAGCATGCAGGTTTTCTGCTGCGCCTGAGCTTGCAATGCTCAACACCTTCAAGATCAGTCTCAGCTGTCCTGGAGAATGACCTGGGTTAGCAGGGTGGGATTATTCAGTTAATGATACTTTGGTTTTATTTTCCATTTTCCTTCTGGTACAAATGAAAGGAAGCTTTAATTAGGACAAAAATCTCTCCCTGCTCCCATCCTTCATCCAGGATGCAGGATTTTCAAATTTTATTTTAAGCATTTGAGGTAAGAATAGTGGGTGATGTTAAAATCTTTTACCTTCAGTACCTTGAAAAGTAAAGAGAGCCATCAGGGACTTCTTGAAAAGACTCTTCTTTCATTTTATTTGTTTCTGCATGGCAGTTTCCTCCTTTGCATTGGCTGGTGGTGGATATTTTAAGAATGTTTATATCTTGGTGTGGAAATATGGTTTTTTGGTTAAGAAATGTGTATTTTTATTGCTAGACAGTGCAACAGTACAAACATTAAATATTTCTTGTTTGCGTATTAAGTATTTCTTAATACTTAAAAGTATTTAAGTATTTGCTAAAAGTATTTGCCTGAAAGGTAATCAAATACCTTCTCTCCAACCAAAATGTTGACTGATTTGTTTTTTTGTTTGTTTTTCTTGAATAATTTGGGTACAATGCACAAATCTTAGCCAAATATTTTTCGTGTGCTCTTCAGGAGTTGTCGTCATTGCAAGCTCCGTAGCATTTGCATTCCTGGAGTGTCCTGCTGCTGTCATATGTGTTTGATGCCTGTCCTCAGTGAGGGTTACAGACCTTGCTTTGTTTTCTCTTTTAGGTTTTCACATCACATGATTCCTGGTCCCCCAGGCCCTCACACAACTGGAATCCCTCACCCAGCTATTGTAACACCTCAAGTAAAACAAGAACATCTGCACAACGACAGTGAGCTAATGCATGTGTGAGTCTGCCTTCCTGCACTAGAAACCTTAGTGAATAAATGTTGGAGAACTAATTCTATATGAAGAAGGATCAAGGATACTTTTAAAAAAGTGTGTTTCATGACCTTTTTCAATTTTAACTCTTCTCCTATAGCGAAAAAAGGATTTGTGGGCTACTGTTTGGTAAGGGTAATGAGACATGAACCCATTTTTCATTCCAGTGCAGCACTTTTAAGCTGTTGGCAACAGCCATCTTGATTCAGTCATAATCATGGACCTGTCCAGCTGTGACTGGTGCTTGAGTGTAAACTCATGAACTTCTGCTGGAAAAGTTCTTACCTGCAAAATTCGCTAGTAAAAAGCAATCTCATTGCTTAGTACTCAAAGGCAAAAGGCCTAGGAAAGAAGGGAATGAGAAGCTATTCTGCCGTGAAATTCGTCTTTTAGGGTGCCATGGATAGATAGCCTCTCAAAAAGAGAATTGAGACAAGTGATGAATTTGGAGCAGATTCACAGATTAAATGTTACTTTCTAGAGAATGTCACCTGACACCCTATCTGCGTATTAAACAGAAAGATATGAAATGGATGGGATATGACCACTGATATTCTCACTTACTACTTAAGTGCTACTCTAACCACAAGTTAGTAATTTTAAATTGGATCTTTTTAGGTTGAAGGCAAATTAATGTTTTTTCCTTTCCCTTTCCCAACCACGTTTTAGGAAGCCTCAGCACGAACAGAGAAAAGAACAAGAGCCAAAAAGACCTCATATCAAGAAACCTCTGAATGCTTTCATGTTGTACATGAAAGAAATGAGAGCAAATGTTGTAGCAGAGTGTACTCTGAAAGAAAGCGCAGCTATCAACCAGATCCTTGGCAGAAGGGTATGTACAGGAGGGTTTGGGAGTGCTCACAAGTGCTGCTAATTTGTGTTTCCCTTCAGCTGGGTGTGAAGGCTGACTTTCTGCTTGAGTTGATTACTGATGTGCAACTATTGAATTAGCTAACGAAGATAAAACATGCAGCAAAACTAAATGCAGTATCTTGATGTTCTTTCTTCAGCATTAGCAACATCATCAAATTTGTGTCTGTTCCACTCATGTTATGGTGTCCACAGCTCAGACATGAAAAATCCTCAATGGAAGGAGCGTTCAGATCACGTTCTGGGTCCTCCCTTAGGCCAGTGTCCATCAGAGCAGGAAGGGATCATTCAAAGACAAACACTGGATGCCACTGGAGTTGAAACTCAGCTGTGAATATGATGCAGTCCATCTGTAAGTCATGTAGGTTGGAAGGGACCCATGGAATTGTGTAGTCCAACATCCAACAAAGCAGGTCCAGTTACATCAAGTTGCTCAGGAGCCTGTACAGACAAGTTTTGAATGTCTCTGAAGTCAAAAGCCAAGTACTGGTGATCCCAGTCCATGTACCAGAGCCTTGCAGAGATCTGTTTGCTTCTGTGGCATTGTAGTCATGTTTTGTACTTTCCACACTCAGAAAAAAAAACCCATGCAGCCCAACTCACAGTACAGACTTTGTGTTCATTGCCAGTGTTATTCTTCCAAGGGAAGGCAGCTGAGGGAAATGCCCATTTTGCAATTGAGTCCCAGAAATGAGAAAAGGGGTGACTTTTGTACCAATCTGAGTTTGAGTAGGGATTATTCAAATACCCAGTGCACATCTCTTTTTGATCACTGACCAAGACAGTATTGAGAGGCACTGTGACTCTGGGAAAACCCTGTGCTTTTAAATGGGAAATCAGCACACGACCTTAAAGTGCTTATTTTATGTTACACTCTGAAGACTTCTGCTCCAAACAGAGCAGAAATCTATTGGTACTTGTCCCAGTTCGTGCAGTTTTCTGCCTTCTGTTCTTGTTACCTCCCCTTACAGGACATCTTGGTGCTTGCCTTTTCCATGCTTTCATGCAAGGCTCTAGGATCCTGTATGGGCCATTTGGTTAAGAGTTGGACTTGATGATCCTTGAGAGTTCCTCTCAACTCAGAATATTCTGTGATCTGTGAACTACCCTTACAGCTGATGGCAGTCCCAGATGATTGATCTTAGTGGGTCAGCCTTGTTTTCTTGGCCTGAACTAGAGCAGAGGCTTATTTATCTCTATTTTGGTAAGGAATCAGGCCCCAGGGCTCCATTGCTTGCTTTTTCTGCAGCTTGAAGTCTCTTTGCAAGTTACTGCTCTCCATGAAAGTACCTCAAATCCCACTTTTTTGCACCTGTGGTGCAAACAATGCATGAGTTATCCAATGTAATTGCTTGAAGATTAATTATGGTCAAGTGGTTTGTGTTCAGTCATCCTGGCCACTATGTTACCTTGTGCTACCCCAGAGCAGGAACCACCTCTTCTCACGAGCTGACACTTTGTGTGCTGCTGGGCTCTCCGCTGCCACAGCATTGTGTTCACTGCCCTCCACCTTTTGTAAGTGCTTATGGAGTTTAAGAGCTGCAGACAGGCTGAGCTGCTGTACTCTCAATAACTCATCCAACTCGCCAAGTTGAGGCAGACAAGTGATTTAGTTCACATCCTCTGATATGTAACAAAACAACATATTCAATCATGCAAAAATGATCTGATCTGAAATCTTAGTTCATGTTATGTTATTAGCATGTTATTGTTGTATGAGTGCCTTAATGATATCAGGTTTGTCTGTTTTCTGGAGCATTTTTTAAATTCTTCTCCCCTCACTTCCCCATGGATGTTGTCAAACAAGAAGATGCATCTAATGTTGCTGCAGCAGTAGAACTTAATTCTAAATAAAAGGCCGTTACTCCTGCAGGTTCAGGTCTATGATAGGTATTTCAACAAGAACAAAATCACTAAATACGAATGTAGCTGGTGCCTTTTCAAATGTGCAGGTTGTGAGGGATTTTTGTTTGCATTTGTGTGGGGGGGTGTTATTAAGTACATGAAACCAGGAAATGTATTCCTGCTTGTCTACAAAGGTCAACCCATGTAATTTGTAACATTGTACTTCTGTGATTTCTTAATATTAGAAACTTTTGCAGCTGCCATTTTCTTTTTCAATCAGAAAGCAGGTACCTTGAAGTTCAATACTTAGAAGCTGATCTTGGAACAGGAGTGCTGGTCCCCAGAAAGCCTTCTGTGTTGGCATTGAAAACTTGTGTCTAGCTGCTGCTTGAAACTAAGACAGCAGACCCTTCTGTCAAGGGGAGATTGCTGCCCTTTAAAAGCAGCACAAAACCCTTCAGATTTTTGTCAGGAGCTAAAGTTTGGGGTTTGTTGCTGGTTTTTTGTTGGGATTTGCTTTTGTTTGTTTGTTGTTGGTTTTTTTAAGTAGTGTTGGGAGAGTGTGGTTCTGTGAGCAGATTATTTGGTGAGCTGTTTCCATAAATAATTTTTGTCTTGCTCAAGGCACTTGGCAGTTGCAGAGCTGACAAATGCCTGAAAGTCAGTTAATAAACACAGGTGCCTGTAATTGCTAATGAATTTCATTTTTGCAGTGGAGAAGGACTGAATCAAAGTCACTAAAACACTTGCTCAAGTCATCTGTTGTCTAGGTATAACTTAGTTTCTAGTCTAAAGCTGTGTTTATTTTGTTTGCAGTGGCATGCTCTCTCCCGTGAAGAACAAGCAAAATATTATGAACTAGCTCGTAAAGAAAGGCAGCTACACATGCAGCTTTATCCAGGCTGGTCTGCAAGAGACAACTATGTAAGTCACTCACTTGAAGGTTCTTTCTTTAAATTCTCTTTCTTTTCATAACTTGCTAAATTATTATTTCTTCTTTTTCTCTGTAACTTGTTGAAAGATATAGAGACCCTGGATGAGGGTTGGTGAACATACCTATAACATAGACCTTATATTTGCTTTCATTTTGAACACCCAGAAAATGAGATTTTGTTGTTGCTATTGAAGTTCATCGTTTTTGAGGGAAAAAAATAACATGGAAAACATTTTCCTAAAACAGTGGCCAGCACTGTCTGGAAGCTCATATATTGTGTAGCTGTGAATTTTCCATAATTTTCTATTTGATCACTTATTATCCAAAAATCTTTCTTAGACCTGAGAAAAAAAACGGGTGTCTTGCTTTCAAGAGAACTGCAAGCCCAGCGGTCTCAATGCAGACAGAACTTTAGCTGAAAGTAATTCATAATGGTCCATCTGTGCAAATCTTGTACAAGTAACCTTCATGGTAGAGCCTGCTGCTAYACATGTGTGTATATATGTAARGAAGTTTTCTTACAGTTACTCTTGATTTATAATTAAATATCAAACAAGTGTTCATGGCACATTGCACAGCCTGCCCTGCACACTATGGTGCCTACAACGAGCTGTCAGTGTAGCCAAATGTGATGACATCAAGCTCAGAAGCTGCGGCCCTGAGAGACTGATCCTAACCTGAGATCTGGGCTCTTTTCTGTCCCTCCATTAGATGTGACACTGTCTACTGGGATAGGAATGTTTCTGGCTCAGTTTTCCTTCTGCACTACAGGGACAGTAGTTTTTCTCTACTTCAGTGATGTCTTTGTACATTGGAAGGACATTTGTACATTGTACAATCCTTTGTACATTTGTACCAGGATTGAGGTACCTAAATAGAGTGTTAACAGAAATGGTAGAAATTGTCACAGAATGCGCTGACACAGAAACTATGGGATTATTTCGGAAGGAAATGCCCTGGTCTTGCTGACATGCATGCCCAATTTTGTAACCACATACACAACTGTTGTAAGCCCTAGCAGCTTCTTTCTGTTTTCTACAGCCAATAAACTGTCCTGACATTACACAGGTAGGGTTTTTTTTCCAGTAACCAGACCATGTCCACAGAGCTGTCTTGAAGTATAGCTGGCAACAAACAGGGTCTTAGGGAAAGGCTCCCTGGAAACAAATGGATTTTGCTTGTCTCCAATTTACTTGCTGGCAAATCATGCCACTTAGGAGTCTTGTCACCTCATGCTTAGTGAACATCAGGCCTCTAGATGGTCCTGTGATGTTTGGTCATGTTGGCTTTGAGAACCCTGTGTTCTGCCCCAGCCTATGCCACACAGCACAAGCAGTGGACCTGTGGTTTCTTAAATGCCTTGGCAGACATTTGGAGTGTGTGAGGTGGCACGTATGAGTTATCTCTTTGATGTGCTTCCAGCCTACATCCTGTGTGGAAGTATAGCTCTGACATACTCCAGTGCTGTATGTTACAATGAAGAACTCTGCTGGCTTCCTCTTGCAGCCCTCCCCTCTGCTTCTCCAGGAATGCACACGTTCTGCAGTGGTGGTCAGACAGTGATCATAGGAGAGCAGTTTATTGCTGAAACCTTTTCAGATATTTTTTCTTTCCTTCTTAAGTTTTTCTAATTTAAGCAGTCAAAAAGTCAAATTGTATTAATTTAGCACAGGTATTACTGCAGTATTTTGAAGGTTGGAAGTGACTTAGGGGTGGTTCTTCTATTTCACAAAACACAAGTACAAGTAAAAAATATGTACTGTTTGGTTTTAGTTCTATTTTGGTTTGCCTGGTTATTCAGGATTTAAGGAATTTCAAGAAACCGTTAAATATTGTTATTCAATTGTTGAAACTATCTTTTTCATATGTTTTTATTACTGATACTCAAAGCAGTCATGCAAAATTGTGTGATAGACATGGAAGCACAGTGTTTTCACAACATGAGAGTGTCTATGTGTGCTGCAGTTGTCAGAAACTATCTTAGCTGGGAATGCTGACAACTAGTTTTCAGCCGCCTTCTATTCCTTCACTTACGTTATCTCATAGGTAGATCTCAGATCAACTTTCAGGATGTTTTAGCACTGGAAGTCAGCCTGACATAGAAAATATAACAAATTTTTATCAAATGATTTTTCCATGTTAACATCAGAACTAATGCACTTTCCTCTGTAAAGAAGTATTGCCTTGGTACCTAAGTGATAAAGTATATTGCCGTGAGCACTYCAGAGCCCTTGAAATGTACTTTTCAACTTCTAGTCTTGGTCCTGACTTCAGACTCTTGCTCACAAGGCATTGCCCAGCCCTGTTGCCAGCCTTGGGATAAATAAGGACAGGAGTTTGAGGACCAGGCAGTCCCAGGCTGTCAGAGTAGGCTGGAGGCTACTTAGGATCATGTGCTGGAGCTTCACCATAGTCTGTATTTGGAGTCCTCACTTCTGTCCATCAATCAGTGAGCACTACACAGGCTTGGGTTGGTTTCTCACATCACCTRTGCTGTCCATCCCATCACCTTGCAGAGCTGGCTCTTGGAAAGATGTATCCCAGCATCCCAGCCCCTCCACTCTGGCCGCTGTGTGTGTGGCATGCTCTGTGCTGGGACATTCAGCTGCCAGCCATGARAGTGGGGGGCCAGAAGATGGGGCAGCAGGCTACAGCCCTGGTCACAGCAACTGCATCAGCCTTTGCCAGAGCTCATCAGTTACAGCCTGTCTGGAGGCTTCTTTAAAACAYAAATGGATATGTTTTTTTCTTAAAACACACACAAAAAGCTTTGACTGACTATACAGGGCAATAAAGACAAGCCATATGGAGGAATATCARAGTGGTAGTTAGAGTGATGCAAGATGATTGAGGTTTTAAATTGTGGGTCTACWCTGACCTTTTGTTTCCTGACAGATTGTGCGAAGCAGGAGCTGGGGCCATTTCCATAGACAGGGGACAGGAGAAGGCTGAGTGTGTAGGTTGGCATGCTGGGGCCAGTGTGGTCTCCCASAAAGAGAGCTGCCAGGCACTCTCTCGTGTCCTGCACCTCAGCCACGTTAGGGGTGCTCTGCTGCACAGTCTCTGCTCTTTGGTTATTGCAGAGCGCGCTCTCTGGGCTCAGCCACACCAGACTTGGCTTTTGTTCAGGTACGAGGATTATCAGAACAGTTTTACTTGGCTGGTTTGCACCCTGGGGACAAGTCATGGTCGTCCTAGGTACTTTCAACACCCTGTCTGCTCCTACCATGTATGACAGTGTAAGTATCTGAATGTGTGAAGAGTTCTTGTGAGAGCCATAAATTATGATATCAACATACATGTCATCAGATTATTGAGCGTGAGAAGTCTCTTAGGTGCTTGTGGCTGCCAGCATTAGTTGAAAACCTGCCAGAAATTGTAATTCCATGTGGATATAAATATGTGTATTTCTGATGTGCATATTTCTGAGATGCTGAGAGCAAATTTGTTACCACTGAACTAGTTGAAAGTGATATAGAAAAGCTGCCCTGAAAATAATTGTCCTTTTTTCCYAACAGCTTTCTCAGTGTCCAGATGACTTGCTGTGAGGTAAGCAACAAAAAAAGTTCTGTGTATGTAATGGTATGATAATATTTCCTATTTTTCAGGGGAAGAAAAAGAAGAGGAAGAGAGAAAAGTTGCAGGAATCAGCATCAGGTAGGCCATGACCAACTCTTCCTTGTCACTCACCTCGGGTATATGTTAGAAACCAGGGCTTGCGCTATTTAATTTTTACGAGCTTTTGTCTAACACTTGCTTCTGATGGATGTTTTAAGATATTTCACTTGGAATGTAAGTTTGTGAACATGCACACAACCCATGCCTCCTTTCCYTTACACCCTTCTGAGCAGCAGTCCTGACGGCATCAACATCTTTGGCTGAACTTATGCATTGCTGCAATCACTGTCCTGTTTTACCTTTGCTTTTCTCCTCGGTCAGTGTTGTATCATCTTTAGACTTAACTGTGTCTCAAATACTGTGTGGTATTATTGGACACTGGAAGCTTTACACAGATCTTGCATAGTAACTGTACTTTTTCTCACTGTATTTTACATTTCTTTGTACACTAACAGCTGCCTAGTAGGTTGGCTAAAAGCATCAGTGAGGTCTCCTCTTTGCCTGCAAAATATATATAAAGAAACACCCTGTTTTCCCCAAGGAAAAATGGCTGGTATAAGAACCATAAAAAACAACCCAAACAGCAAAAACAAAAAACACACACACAAAAAAATCCATGTAACACTGTAGCAGACAAACTTATTTGGAATGCACAAAAAACTCTGTAACAGAAATTTGTTAAAGGAAAACAATCTTCTACAGGTACAGGCCCCAGAATGACAGCTGCCTACATCTGAAGCATGGTAAGAACATCTCTAAAGCTTTCCTGCTGATAAAACTGAATTGTAAAATAAGCCTTCTTATAAATTTTATGCAATAATATGAATTTAGCAAAAATTGCAGAAYTATCATATCCCAAAGCTAATGCTACTTTGATTACTGATGGTTTTTATACCGGCTATCCATTAAGTGTTCACCATTTCAATGCTTAACCATAATATTTTCAAATTGACCACACCTCACTGACTCGCTGCAAGTCTGCCTGTGAACCAGGGATGGGCTTATTAAGCAGTGCAAGCCCTCCCAGACTGTCACAGCTCATAAGAGCAGGTTAGATGCTGGCTTTGGAGCACAGTTGATGTCCTGACATCAAGATGCTGGCTGGCTGGGTAYACCTTTTAAAAACAATTTATTCACCTGTATACTAACAAAACAGCTGCTGTGAAAATGGGACTGTGTTTCAGTTGTTTCAAGAATTTCTCCCACTGTAAAGTGGTATTTTATGTGTGGTGCAGGTTGGGGTTTTTTGTGGTTGTTGTATTTCCAGCATGTGTTTTCTYTCTTTATACCATATTATCTGCACTGAGGGTGGAATGACTGGTGATTACACTCATGCAATAACATCRTCTAGTCAGCTTGTGAGTGCACACAGTACCACAGTGAGATTCTAATTTCTCAGTGTCTGTGTTGGAAGGCTGGTCCTTCTCTTCCTCTCAGTGTGATGYGTTTTCTGCTAGGAATGCCATTAATTTTAAATAATAGTTGCTTCTGAACTGTCTAGTTAACCCAGATTGCTCTTGAGAGATCCCCAAGTATTCTAGCAACCATGCAAAAAAACCCAAAACTTTCTAAACTCACTTACACACTGTATCAGAAATGGGCTCTCTGACCTCTYTTCCTCTGCCTTGTTTGGGCATGGGATCCCTGTGGCTCTGGGAGTAGTCAGCAAAGCAGGTTCCTGTTGGCCCTCTGCTCTGCTTGGACTTTCAGCCAGAGAAAGCCAGCTTCAGTTTCCTGTGTGCAGTGTGTCAGTCAGCAGTCAGCATGATTCAAGCCTCTTCTGAAGTTATGCCATTATGTTGGTTAGTCTGAACTTGGTTAAGACAAGACTTTGGTGGTTTGTTGATTATTTTCTTTTAAAGCCGAAGTAAAGTGAAAAGGCAAAATGTGTGCTCTTTTTCTCTTCCTAATAAGCAGAAGTTTTCCAGGAAAGCAGACAGCCTTGCCCCTTGCGATATGCATGAGTCAGGATGATTTGAGATGGGATTGCAGCATTGGGATTCTGTAGCCCATTCAACAAATGTAGCTGTAATGTACCATTACTTAGGGCATTATACCTACTAAATAAAAAAGTGCTGTAACCTTGAGTTTTGTAATTGATATTTCAGCTTAGTTTCCCAGGTCCATGATTGTTGTGAATATTTTTCCCTTTGATCTTAACCCAGTACCAGTAAGCAAAACACTCACAATTTTATCAGAATTGATACAGAGCACTGGATTGTGATGGGAATACAACTAAGGTTCAAATGACAGGTAAAAATCAGGGAACATTTGGTTTCTTGGATGCCTTACAGGATGCTTTACAGTCCAAGGAGGACTGTCTTGTCTACATTGTACTATTTTTGCTGGAGTTCCTCTGCGTTTTCTGTGTTAGAGGTTGAATGTTCTGAGTGTGGGGRCTTTCTCTCCCTTTGACCTTTACACTTCTGCCTTCCTCTCAGGCTTTGTAACAGTGTGGAAACTGTTGGCAATACCTGTCTCTCTGTCTCCAAGCAATTTGTAACACAGAATAAGAGAACAGTAGTATGCTCTTCCAGGGAAGGGGAAGTGTCCTGTTGACTCCATATATGCACATGAAGGCAGCCTCACTCAGGGTTTCATGCCGAGTGAATGATCTGCACKGGAGAGGTACAGATGTGCTCTTGCTGGAAGTAAATGTACGGAATGATTTAGGGAACCTGAAGCAGCCAGACTTCAAAGTAAACTTCTGAAGGTTAAGAGTCTTGCCCTCTGCAARCCTAATCCAAGGAATGTTTTGCCCACAAGCATAATATCTTAGCAGGCCCACAGCAGAGCTGTTGTAGTCTTTACTGGATGCAGATAATAAGCTTGGGAATAGCTTTCTTACTTGCATGGATGGTGTAAGGAAGAGGGAGAAGGAGGGTGGGAGGTCTGGGAAGGAGACAAGCRTTCTGTTATCTGAGAAGAATCAGAAATGAGTAGGTGGCAAGACCAAAGAAAGAATCTCAAGATCAGCACAAAGGAGATCAGCCAGGGCTGTAATTACGGTGATGTAAGTGAGAAGGATGAAATGGTGGGAGGGTTGTGTGGTGGGATGTTCAGAGGAAAGTAACGGAAGAGACATGCAAACAGAAATGATTTAAGATACTGTGAAAGTTTTGGGTGTGGGGTTTTTGTTGTTTTTTTTTTGGTCCATGAACATTCAGCAACTGACTGATTTTTAAGGTGGATCTCTTAGTCCCACTTTTTGATTTGCACATGCTTAGAGTGGTAAAGTCAAGGTGGTAAGCATTAAGTTGCCCCTTTTTCAAGRGTTGTACACAGCAGTAGGTGTCTTATGGCTTCATTGCTTAGGATTTATCTGAGTTCTGTGATCTCCAGCCTGCTGAATGGCTGATTTGTAAAACACTTCAGAATGCTTTAGGAGTACTGTGACTCTGTGCACCAGTCTTTGCTATATTATACTGGGGTACTCCAAAGCATGTCCTTCAAGAGCTGTGGAAATATCCCAAGATTTTTGTTGACATGGCCCAACACAATGTTTGAAACAACTTTGATTTATTGAAGAAAAATCTCTTATTTATTCTCTTATTTTGGAATTAACCAAGASTGGAATTAGACCTGATAATGATAAAAATAAATTGAGGAGGAAAGGGGAAATGAGGAAAGCCAAGATTAAGGACAATGTAGAGATCATGTGTTGAGCACCTTTCTGAAAGGTGAGTGTTTTTCTTTTACTTCAAGCACAGGCTTCTAGATGATTTGTAAATAGGAACAATTCTGTGTTGGAAGTGGAGATTTCTAATTTCCTATTCAGTTTGACTTTYAGAAGAAAAGAAAAAAGGTGCTTTTTAGCATCTCCGTGAGTATTTTGAAATCAGCAAGGAAACAGAAGTGTGCTAACAAAAATTCTTCCTGATTGTTCTGCAACATGGAAATACTTAACTTCTTATGACTTGCTCTGTATGGAATTGTGAAAGGCACGTCATTCAACATATGGCAGGATGCAATTGGGAAACTACATAATTTAACACTATGTTTTGGCATATCTTCAAGGGCTAAAAAGAGTGATAGAGAAGCTTAATAGACACTTGAAAACCTGTGAGAAGTATATTTGTGGCTTGAAAAATTCCATGACAATTAGCACCTACATTAACAAAGCCTACAAAACTAAGAAAACTTGACTAATTCAGATTTGCAATCAGAAGTACTTGAAAGGATCAGATTAAGTCTGTTTAACTTTGAACAGTGAATTATTTTAACATTTCAAACTTCCCACATTGAAAATGGGAGCCAAATTTCAGCACAGAAGTGATTTTTGGGTATGAATTTACAACTGGATTATGTTTTTCCTATTACTTAGAAATAAAATGGAGTGAGGCTGTGAAAGCAGACAATAAAGCAGACCAGTGCACAGCCAGAATACTGTGGAAAAGAAGAACACAATGACTGGTTGTGGTTTACCATGGATTTCTGGCCAGCACCAGAGAAAGGAGATGCAAAGAGGATGTGGTATCTTGCTTTCTGAGGCATGTTTTCAAACCTGGCTTGTCCAGTGCTCTTGAAATTGCTACTGGAGTAGTTCAAAYTGAAACAAATGCTCCACCCCTTCCCATAGCTCCACTGCTCAGAAACTTTAAACAGAGCCTGGAGAACTTGCATAGAAGTTAGTCTGTGTGAGAATGTGTGTGGTGATGGTGGTGCAGAGACGTGTCCTGATTTGCTTTAAAAATTGTTTCCTGTATGACCCATGTTTCTCTGTTCCCTGTTTTGCTCATGAATAGCAGCCTTCAGCACAGACAAGAGGGACAGAATGACCAGAAGAAAATTTTCTGGATTGAAATATTTATATTATTTCAGAAAGGCATAAAATTTTAAACAAAATTAGTACAGACCTCAGAGAGATCATGWCATGGGTTGAAAGGGACCTTTAAAGACCATCTAGTTCCAAGATCCCCCACCATGGACAGGGACACCCTCTGCTAGACCAAGTTACTCAAAGMCTCATCCAATCTGACCTTGAACACATCCAGGGATGGGGCAACCTCTCTGGGCCTCACTGCCCTCACAGTAAAGAA